ATTATTTATTACTTTACTTTTATCATCACTTCTTCTCGTAACAAAAATTATATTTTAAAACTATTAACTAATTTATTCTATCGTTTGAACAATTATATTTTTAAAATTGCAACTAATACATATTTTTTAGCTATGTTTTAATTTAAAGATAAAAAAATCAAAAGAACTTATTTGAATCATTTATCATTGATATAGAATAATGTGTTATTCTAAGTGCTCTTCATGATTATTTTATGTATTAATATCATACATTATCTGTATATACATCATGAGAGACATTTTTTCTCCGCTAAATACAAGTTAAAAGATACTATTATAGTTATCATTCAATTGAACGATTGGACAATATGACTGTCAAGGAATATTTTGTACATATAGCTAGTTTCAAATAAAAATCTAAGTATTGATATTCGATAGATTATTCTTAGAGTGATAGTTGCGTTTAGAAGATATAGATGTATACTGAAATTTATTTTAAATGACTGTTTATTCTATTATGATTAAGATGTTTCGCTACATAGAGAGATATGTTTGTAAGTAATTGATTTTCTGCTCCAAACTTGAGAATCATGATTCAGAAAATGAATAACGAATGATTCTGAAGATATTTGAGAGTTCAACCGAAAGCTTTAACTAACAAATTCAATGGAAAAATACTCTAATTTCATACATTCTGAAATATTTGATTGTCATACTTCATTCTAAACTACTTCTAAAATAGGGAAATGATTTGATCAATGCATCATTTATCAAATATTCCACACTTTCGTTTTAAACCAATATAAATGATTGAAGTTGTAATTATGACTAGAAATTAATCTACAACAAATCATAGCAAGCAATGAATTGAAGTTATCTGGCTAGCATGATATATGCAAGAAAATAAATCTTAGTATTTCTATCAATACCATTATTACAAGAGTAATCAATTATTCTAATAAACTAAAGATATAAATGTGTGTATGTGTGAATCGCTTGCAATATAAAAAATGACATATAGAAAACGGTGATGTGTTCATTTTTGAAATCTAATACAAAAATGAGATAAAATTTAGAAATTACATAACCTTTATAAGTGCATTTATATAGGTTGTGTTAGAAAAAATTGCGAAATTAAAATATTGAAAGATTGATAATAGAATAAAGCAGTTATAAGTTTAATTAATATTGTATCAAAGTTATGATTTGTTAGACTGCTTCAGTGTGAAATATTTTTATATAATCTACAAAACAATTTTATATAGTTGACTATCAACTTCTTTATCTTCCTTGTATGGAGATCATGTAAAGTTTATCTATGACAAATGTTAAACTTTCATCTTAAGTAAATGACATCATTCGCTTAGTGCATGGATACTATTTCATTTATAGATATTTCGACATAAAAATAATAAAATTATTAGTCATATATATCAGTGACAATGTAATAACGCTTTCTATGCAAAAAAGACAAGTGGATCTTATCTTTTTTTTGCTTCTTGTGTGATGATATCATGTTGGAGAGAAACTTATTTCTATTTTGTTCTTACATCATATCAGTGCAATATATACAAAGTATAAATTTAAGTCATCTTTTGTGTATCACTTACAGATTGCTTTTTTACATTAACTATTTTAAGAGATCAAAACAAACTGAGAATGTTCAACAAATATTTGCTTTTATTGGTTGGCTTAGTAGCTGCCATTTATATACCTACGACAAATGCTTATGGCATTTGCACATGTTTTTGTTGTGAAGGTAGCAGTTGTGAACCAATAGCTGAGGGTGAAATAGATATTCCATCATGCGAAGAAGGTTCATGTCTTCAAGCCTGTAGAGCGAAGTTTCCATTATCCTGCAGTAGTCCTTCTACAGGCGGAGTTGAAGGAGACTGTAGGGAAGTAACAGGTACTCCCTCAACATCTTCAACTACGGTAATAACGACTTCAACGACAACAGCAATTCCAACTACCACAACTACTACACCAATTCCAACGACCACAACTTCTACACCATCTACAACTGCGTCTACACCATGGCCTGTTGTAACAAATACAACTACATCAAGCCAAAGTACAACAACAACATCAAGTGAATCAACAATAACATCCAGTGAAACTACAGCAACTAGTACTACCACAGGTTCTACTACAACGGCTGATACTACTACCAAAATTATAACCATCACAGTTACAACACCATCCACAACTTCAGCAGCAACAACATCCACTGGAAACATAACTGTCACTGTCACCACTAGCACTACTACCGATACAAGCTCGACTTCATCTGAATCTTCGACATCAACTACAACTTCTGCTTCAGGACCTACTAGTAGTACTACTCAAACATCACCACTAACAACTACAACTTCATCAGGAACAACAACAACAGCCACAGGAACCACAACATCAACAACAGCTGCTCCAGCAACAACAACAAAACATAGTGGTGCATTTACTGTTCAAGAAAGTCCATTATTTATTAGTTTACTTTTATCATCTGTTCTTCTCGTAACAAAAATTATATTTTAAAACAATTAACTAACATATTTTATTTATTTATTTATTTTTAATCTGTCTTATTTTTCATACGAATAGAACACTTTTTATCTTTTAAATAAATATATTCATAAAGCTGTTTATAATATTTTTTTTAACTGCGTATTTATTTGAAGAAGAGGAAAGCAAAACAAGATTTTTTTGAAATTGTTATCATTGTATATAAGATAATGTGTTATCTGTATCAACAAAGTCTACTAATCAAGTATTTATTTTACGAATTGTATTCATTTGTAGCATAAACAAAATGAAAGTTCTTATTTTATTTGCAGCATTTATCTTTATAAATTCTATAACTCTATCGAACAGTTCATCGTATTGTCAATGTCAATGTTGTCTACACGAACCATTAAATAACGATTGTCAAGAGAATATGGTTGGTAATGTACCTATTGATATTTGTACTACAGATTCAACAAATATCTGTATAGACAAATGTAAAGAACAATATCCAACAACATGTGGTCAAAACAATAGTATTCCTGAAGCTATTTGTATGTCTGATTCTACCACTACTAATATTCCAGCAGTGGCAAGTACTACAAATGGTATAAGGCAATGTGACTGTTTATGTTGTCCTAAAGCTCCATGTGACACAGTTTATCAAGGCAATGTTATTGTTAATGAACATGAGCAAGGGTCAAATATTTGTGCGGAAAAATATCCATCTGAATGTGTTTTATCATTAGGATCGGTTGTTACTCGCTGTGAACAAGCACCTAACAATAATACTTCTCGTATAAATTCTAATAAATTTCTTTTTTTATTATTATTATTTATATTTTCTAAAGATTTTTTTCAATAAGTGTATATTTAGTTGCAATAAATACTTTGCTACACGTTATATTCGGTTTTTTCATTTGATAATGCCACATAAATGCTGTATTTGCATAAAAAGTAAATGATGTACTATCATGACCCGCTCCATGTACATTATGATTATAAGGAAAATTGAGATAAGATATTTTCAATGATTTTTCAATTAATAATAACGATATTGTTTGAATATTTGCATCACCAACACGATACCGATAAAATGCATTTATTGATATTAATTGTTTTAAATATTTTTCTACAATTGGATTTTCATAAAATAAATTAAGACGCATAAGAAAAAAATTATTATAAACAGCTAAACCATCATAACCTTGAGGTCCATTTAAAAATGTACATTGTGATTGTATACATCCACGTCGAGTATGATTTGTTGGTAAAAATGTTCGAAGATTATCTTGAATAAAATCTAAACCATTATTATCACTATAAATTGATCTATAAGCATAATCATATTGATTTTTATGAAAATATTCAAATAAATCATATTGTGTTGAATTTATTAAATATGAATCATCATCAAATCTCATCACATAATCACATTTATTTTGAAGAAAATTATATTTAAACCAAATATCATACGACCAAAATTGACACATTGATGCATAACCCGAACGATTCGATTGAATTGTAATATTAAAATAAATTTCATAAAAATTTATTCGTAATTTTGATGCACAATATAATATTTGTTGTTTGGTTTCGTTTGTTAATGTTGGTTCATGAAATAAATAGATTGGATATTGATGAATATTTTTAAAATAAAGTTGTAATGAATTAAGCATATTTAATAATTTATTTAAACTAATAAGATTATCACTTCGTATTAATGTTACAATACATCCACGATAAGATAATGCATTGGAAGTTGCTAAAGCTTTTTCCGTAGTATCATGAAAGATTTTAATATAACTTGCAAGAGCAAATATGATAGAAAAAATACTAACAAATATGAATAAAGGATTTTTTCGTTGCATATTTCGTTTTTACAAATGTACATGAAAAAGTAAAATCATTTTATGTAAATAGAAACGTAAAAAATCTTTCGACTTTTTTTTTCTCACAGACATCAGACATTTTTGCCGTTCACAGCACGATGTCCTCGAGCAACAAAAGTAAATAAACCATTCATTCTCTTCTTTCGTATAGATACATAAATAATATAAGGTATCACAATGTACTATTTCATATTAATTTCACGATCGACTATCTATACAAGCAAAACACTAGAAAATTGACCTAATGAAATTTATAAATAACCACGATCAGCAGTATGAGTACATTCAATATAATTATTTTCCAGTATGTTCATTTATATATAGATACCTTTTAACAACACCTCAAGGATACATTCCGACTTCCATAAATGATGTGTTAAGTGCTATATCATTTCAATAAATGTTAATATATCGATAGATTTTATATCAAAATATATATTGATGTATTCTTCAAAGTTCTGTGGAATACAGGTATGTTTAAAACATAAAAATACATCAATTTTTTTTTCTAGATCAGAACTGTGTAAACACAGTTAGAATCTATAAGAGAAAGTGTCTTGCAGTTATTGATAAAGGTCTACGATGGATTACTAATCGTCGATTAACATACTTTTGAATAACATCCTGAATTATTACTTGACAGAAATCAATAGTTTAAGGAAAATCAGAATGAAAACTTCTAGTTTATACGAATTGGAAATATTTCGATTAAAGACCATTAATTAAATATGCATGAGGACTATAGTGTGATTGAATAACAACAACAACAAAAAGACATTTAAATTCTATTTAACATGAAAAATGCAATGACCAATAGAAATAGTTGATAATCTATATTTAATTACAAAATAAGCACTTTTGATTTCAAAAGAAGTTGTGTCTGAATACCAACAATAGTAACAAATCTATTATCAAACATGATAAACTATGCTCTTTTCATTTTCATCGAACGATATTCAAATTAGAACTGTTTATCATTCTAAATAGAAATATCTGTAACTTATTATAAATATCAATGATTCTAGAAAAACAAGCTCATCTCATGCACTCTTTTATGCAAGAATAGACACACTTATTCCAAGTATTCTGTATTTACAACATTTTTTTATAATTGGAATAAATCATTTACACGTGATTTACTTAAGTTCCATGAATATATAAGTAATATTTCAATCATCACGTTCGTTTTATTTTATGTAGAAAAATATACTGATAACGAGTTTCTATCTGTTATTTTATAATTGACAGGAATGTTCTTAAAACGAGTAGGAATTTACCCACTTGAAATCTTCAGGCATCTGATTTACAAGATTCTTGAATCGTATTCATATCAAGATAAGAATTTCGTTGGAAATAGAAAAACAAGGATGAAGGTGACTCAGTCCAGGTACAAAGGATAATGTAAACTGACACCCTCAAGATGAATTTCGACGAAATGAGAATGGAAGAAAAAATAATTTTCGACGAAACGAAATCTAACCGTAGAAAAATACTTCACAAATCAATTCAACTATTTTCATTCAGAAAATCAAATATATTCTTATATTTTTTTTATACAACAAAAAAAGAAAAACAAACAACATCATCATCCACCGGTGGGAAAGAAAAAGGGAATCTAAATAACAACGATTCACAAATATACTGGAAGACCAAGCTCTTAACTTATAAAGTATTCATAATAATATCATATATATGAAAATTTTTATCTCAATGTCCTTTTAAACCTTTTGCTCTTTCATTATCTAATGTTAATTTTGATTCATTTATATTAATTCGTTCATTTCTTAAAAAATGATGATCTTCACCACCACCATCATCATCATCATCCGAATGATTTTCTATATTAATATCATCCATTTCCATTGATGTTGGTAATATTCGATATAATTTTTTTCTTTGCCATTTTTTACTTATATATAAAATAAATATAAATAATATAAGTAATAAACATGAACCAAGAAATAAATAAAATAAATAGGATAATACAACATGTTTTATAATATAAAATAAAAATGATGGAAATATCATTTCACTTATTGTTATTGTTATAAATATCATTTGAATAAGTGAATCATTTAAACTTAAATCACGTTCAATCCAAACTAAGATTAATGTTGGAATTGATGCAATTAATACACCAATAAAAAAAAATATAAAATAAAACATTTGTATTGATGGTATTGATGAATTTGCTGCTGCTGGTGATGAATTTTCTTGAAATAAATGTGAAAAACTTAATGTTGAACATAAAATAAATAATAACATTAAACGTATAAGTATACAAAATTTTATTGAAATCAAATGAAATTTATCTGATTGTTTTTTTGTTCGATTTGTAATACGTGTATTGAAAAGAAAACAACCATAATCCATAAATATATCAATTAATCGACCCAATAAAAGGCCAAGAAAGAATAAAAATTGAATAATTAAACTTTGATGTTCAGAAAAATTTAATTTCATACCAAATGAATATGTTAAATAAATACATGAATATTCAATACCAGCCAAGAGAAAATAAAATAATAAAAGAAGAAAAACAAATTTAAGTGAAGATCGATCTGATAATAAAGATATTTGAGTATTAGAATTATTTGTTGTCCGGTGAGAATTACCAAATAATAATGTTAAAGGATTTAAATAAGTTGGTTTAGAAGATGGTGTATTTATACCCTCACCACGCATTGCTAATGTTGAATAGAATATTCCCAAGAGGAAAAATGTAAATGCAAGAAATAAATAAATAAAATGAATTAATGTTAATGATTGAGAAAATGAACGAATTTTTTTATAGAATAAATTTTCATCGAGATCATCAGTCTCGGATTCAGCCATTGACGGTTTCTTATGATAAGTAGTTGTTGTTGTTGTTGTTGTACTTGTTGATGTTGTCGTAGACGCTAAAGAGATTGCATTTTTTATTGAGAAGAAATATATATATTTCTCAGACTACTCCTCTTTTTTCAACAATTTTATTACCATTGAAAAAATTAAGCTATTGTTAGTTTCAATATTCTTTAGTAGACAACGAAATTATCTGATGAGTTTTCATTAAAAAGCAAAGCAAAGAAGAATATCCTTAGAGCATACTTGTTGTTGTTGTAGTTGTAGTTGTAGTTGTGACCGTCGTAGTACTTGGACTAGTAGATGGCAAGGTAGTCGTACTTGTTGTAGGTAAAGTTGTTGTTGCTGTGGTATTGGTGATGATAGTTGTTGGAATAGTAGTTATTACTGTTGTAGTACTGCTTATATTAATAGCAGTCTCAATTGATTGTATTGTACAATTTGGTGTTTTATCATTTGCACAAATTTGATCTATACGACATCGAATATTCGTTTTATCCGGTAAGCAAATGTTTGACGTTGAGGTTAAACATGTTGATAAAATATCTTTACAATCATTTAATTTATTATCATCTTTTTCTTTACAAGTAAATGTATTTTTAATTAATGTTTCATTTTGATTTGTATCATTACGATGATAACAACATAATGATTTTATACATGATGATTTCGTATCTGATTGTTTATTTTCAGATGGTTTTACTATTATTGATTGTTTTAATTGGTCTGAATCAACGACGGATGGTTTGTGTACGACTTTTTCTGTTGTACTTGTTGTTGTCGGTGGAGATTCGCTAGTTGTATTTATAATATTAGTTGAATTTAATATATTGGGTATATTATTTGAAATTTCATCATCATCATCATCATTATTGTCTTGCATTGACATTGCTGAGAGACGATTCGCTACTTCGTCGATAGCTTGACGAGGTGGTCGGTGGACTGCTGAATAACAAAACATATAGATTAATTCTTTTAATTTGAAAAAGAAACTTCATACGTGTAAGATTTGTTGTTAATAAATTCTGATTTTGATTTTGATTTGAAATAGCCGATGGAAAAAGCATCAATGTTGAAAGAATAGCACCAACAGCTACTAATAGATGTAACCACCTTACAGATGCTAATGTTGATCGATTCCATAGACGATTATAAAGTGTATCAATACCTACAAATTAACAATCCTTTTTTCAGATATTTATATTCTTCTATTCTCTTTTTTTACCATTATAAGATATAGCAAGACCAATACCAAGAATCAATGAAGTTAAATAAAATGTTGCTAAATCAGTTATAAGTGGAAGAGAACAAACACCAAAACTGATTGCTAAACATGATAGACCAAGTAAACAACATACATTAAACCTATTATAATTACAAGTTAATATTATTTCAAAAATGAAAAATACAAATTTTACCATGTATAAAGGTAAGCACTTAAAAGAGTTCCAATAAGAAAACCAATTGCTTTCATAGGAATTAACCATATAATTGCTGATAAATCAGCTGGCATGCGTTGTGCAAGAAATGGAAATGTTGGTCCTAATAATCCAGTAAACATACCCTTTATAGAAATAGAAATAAAATATAGATTTAGAAAAAACAAAGATTATACAATTGATATTGATGTTGCTGCTAAGAGAATAGTTTTTGCTTGAGATAATTTAATAGGATTATCATAGACTTTTATATTAAATCGATTAACACCAAGAAGTATTGGGCCCGAATTACTTAATGAATTTGAATCATTGGCTTGATGAATTAATGTTCGTCGATCAAGAATCACTTCCTCTTCTTCATCATCAACATCTTCATGCATCTATATGAGAGAAATTCGAATAATATTCAACAGAAAAAGAAGAATTATTCTTACCATTTTGATCAACGATTTTATTTGAAATATAAAGTAAAATAAATCTTTTATGTTACACTTTTTTTTTGAATAATATTTCAACGTATGTATGTGATGCCAAATATTACTAATTGTGATTCATTCGTACGCTGTAATTTGACCAAGAAAGAAGATTTTGGATTGGTGATGTATGTATTGTTCTCGTACAGTCAATAGAGAGCGCTAGGTAACGTTTTCTTCTTTTTAATTAAAACACCTTGATATTTATTTCTCAAAATAATATCAATTGAACATTTCTAGTAATAGGTAATTTTAAGAAAAGATTTTTACAATGAATCTAAATTCAATAACAAACTTTTTTTTTGTGAAAATGAAATTTGATATGACTCTTATCAAAATTAAATTACAAGTTACTATCAATGAAATTCGTTGTTACGCGTTTTATCTAATACTGATTTTACTTCGAGGTTTTCTCTCTTTATGAAATAGAATCTTTAAATAAATCGAAGTCTCGCTAATAATTCTCTATACTTAAGATAAATTCTATTGAAAATAATAGTTTATTCTTTTTAAAAAGAAATAATTAAAATCATGTTTTCTAGGACTTTTTCTTCATTTAATAAAAGTAGGACGAATACAAAGACCAAAAAAAAAGAAGTTAAAAGTTAAAAAATTGTTCCATTTAATTTTTGTATTTAAGCTGCTTGTCCGATATTTTCTGAATATGTTGCTCCAAGCCAAAATGCAGCCACAACGGATGCTATATAACATAAGAAATGAGCAACAACCATTAATTTATATGAATAACCAGTGCTTCCATCAAAATATGCTGCAAATGCAGCTAATGTAAAGATACCTGCAAGAACAAGTACTATCAGAACTACAATTCGAATTGATTTCGGTAAAACTTTAAGAAGAAATAAGACCAGTACAATAACGGAAATAACTAATAAAATAAAGGCAACAATTGAAAGGCCCTGTGAAGGTGATGATGGACAATAAGAACACCATAAACCATAGTTAAGTGTCCATGCTGGAGTTGTTAATCCAATAATACAAAACAATGCCGATATTGCTGCAACTATAGCTGAAACAATAAGCAGAATCTTTTCACTGACTTGCATGATTTTCACACGTTTTTTATTCTTCTATAATTTGAGTAGAGCCGATACGAGTAATCGTAATATTTAAAATGATGGTAAGAGATTTTTTCTTCTCTCTATAAATAGAGAGAAAAAAGCGAGAAATAATAAAACATAACATTGTTTTCTGGAATCAATGATTGACATAGCAACAAAGCACGAAACATCATGCAATAGTACTAACAGGAAAGAAAAAAAGAAATAGTATTTCTAATTTTTTCATAAAACAAGTTTAACAAGTCACAGTCGTTATCGACGATCTGTCACATTGGCAACGAACACTTACTATTAAAAATGCTATTTAATGAACAACAAGAATTGTCGTAAAAAAAAGATTTCTTATTCCCTTAACTACCTCCTCTGATGAGACAGAAAGATTAGAAATAAGAAAAAATGCTATTCTTCATTTTTACTGCATAGTAACGATACTTGAAATACTTGAAGCTTGGTTGTCAAAAAATATACAGTCATGATCAAACAAATATTAAAAGGTTCTTTTGTTTACTTAAATTCAAGATATATATGAAAAACTTTTACAAATCCATATTATACTGTATAACCTATTTAATCGATTAAATAAGAAAAGATATCCGCAAGTAATTATTAATATAGAATACCTACTGAAATTGTTTTGTAGGCAAAATCTATCGTATGCATTTTAATAGCATAAGATTTCATGAACCGTTGAAAAAAAATCTGAATAGTTCACTTAAAGAAATACTCGATTAGCCCTGTATTTTTTTTGTCGTTTGATAAACATTTGAAACTATGCGAGTATTTATAGACCATTGAATTATTCAGTGCAAAATAAATTCATATAATTCACACTGGTTGACACGGCAAAAAAAAACAACATAGAATTTAAAATTTTTTCATTTATAATGAATAAAGCTTTTAATGTTAAAAGAAAGAATAATTATAAAAATGAATGCTTAATTACATAATAAATGAAATATGTAATTTCCTGTAAAACGAAATTACATCATTTACAAATTAAATTTTTTTATATAATGTTCAATACAAATATATATATTGAAAAGCACTTATGTATCGATAAACATTTGATGCGCGTGTTGAATTTTATTTATTTAAAAGAGTAGTACGAAAGTGAAGAATAAATATTAACACCCTCGAGAAAAAAAGAAAAAGATTGCTTTGTCCTTAGACTTCAACACAACGCTACAAACACATATTTTTGATTGAATTCTTTATAATCTAGTTCATAGTTGTATAAGTTCTCTCTTCTCAGTATTATCAATAGAAGTTTTGTATCATTAGGAAAATAGTATCTGTAAAATGAATTCGACACATGATAAAATCTACTGATTTTTCTACATAAGTGTACTATCGATATTGCCTTGTTGTCATATATGATTTATCAAAGAATTTCATTCTGACGAAGATATGCAAATGTCTACTATTAAATATATCATCAATTTCAATTATGAGAAAATAAATAGGTTTTAATGAATTTATTTATTCTTTTATTCAACATCACTATCCATTGATTCACTTTCATGATCAACTGCAACGATTTGATCATCGTTATCGGTTTTATTTGATATTGAATTATTATGTTTAAATAAACATAATTTAAGACGTGGCATAAATCGAATACTACCATCCCAAATTCTAATTATGAAAGAAAATATGTTATTTTATATTATTTTGAAAGAGAGAAAAATTTCTTACCGGAGTTCTTTAACAGCATCAGTCTGTGTAAGGTTTGGTATTTCTTCAAAATAGAAAACGAAAGATAATTTAGATTTTGGAATAATGAAAAATTTTTATTTACCAATGCCATTAGTTTCATATTCATGCTGTTCACCATTTACTGTTGATTCAATTAATGATTTACGTGATGCATATTGTGGTGTTTTTTGTCGATGACCTATTTGATTTTTCATTTCAATTTGGTCGAGTTCATCTTGAAATCTCTGTAGATATCTGTCTACATATTAACATAGTAAAATGAAAGAAATATCAAATTGAAAAAACTAACCGTTGAATAAGTTGATTTACTTCTTGTTTCGACAATTGAGTTTGATTTTCATCTAATTGATCTTTAAACCATTGAATTCTTTCACGTAAATTATTAAATTTAGCTTTTGTATTTTGACGTTTTCTAAAATCAATTGAAAGTATAATATTCAAATAAATTTTTCGAAAATTTATATCTTACTTAACAACACGACCTGCATGACATTCTATTTTAGAGACCTGTTTAGCCTTTCGACTGTTTGGATGCATAGGTTTACCATTTAATTTAAGTTTTTTATCTTTTGCCTAAATTATAATTATATAATGAAATTAACTGAAGAAAAATAAAGAAATTTACCATATTGGTTTTGAATAAAAATACAACCAAAAATTGATCTGAAAAAAAAAACGAAATACTACGTATATATTCAGTAAATCAGAAAATGATATATATCGAACTTATGAAATAATTGTTTAGTCCATAGTATATTTCTCATGTTGTAGATAGTTGGCGTTAGTTGTCGATAGAATAGGAAAAAAAGTAAAAGGACATTATGAGATTGTTGCTGAGTAATAGAAATGCAATAATTTTGGATGACTAAAGTAGGAAGTAATCAATCATAGTTTGTTAGATTTATTGTTCATAAAACTGAAGATACTTGATAGAAATAAGATTGATTAATGCTATTTTTAGAGTCGGTAACAGATTTAATGTTTCATGATTTCAGTGTTTTAGAAATGATATATGTATATTAAGTTAGCATTTATAGAAAGAAATTAACTATAACTCCAATTCTGTTGGATTATTGTTCTAAAAACTATGATGAACATTTCATAATTATTACAAACACATTTCTTTCAATATTTACTTAAAAACTGAATAAGTATTGCTGCTTTACTAATGTATACTGCACCCCATAATGTATTGTACTACTTGTATTCAATAATCACATAAATATATGTCTCCTATATTCCATATTTATTTATTTTTCAGTTCATTGTGAAAATGTTAGTCTTAATATAAAATAAATTAACAGAACAGTCTGTCTTTTAACTCTTCTATTAATATGCCGTATTCTAATCTACACCATAATTGTGATATAAAAGAGAAAATGAAATTTAGAAAGGAGAATACATATAGAATACATTGGAAGATAGATTCATAAAAGTTAGTTATTACTACAAGTGCTGACGTTCTTAGAAAGTTACAAGAGAAGAAGAAAATCAGGTGCCATGATCTACCGTTCGGGTAGGCCATAAAGCTACTCCATCTACAGTATCGCTTCTTCTCTACCTACATCTCTCCGTAGTGTCGTTCGTGATATTCGTACGTATGTATGTATGTTTTCATGATCTCACTTCTCTCTCTCTCTCTCTTTTTCATTTATCCCCTGTCCGAGATCTATCCATGTGTTTAGTGTAGTGAATATACACGGTGATCCGAGGATAGCCGAATCCTTACATTAGGTACATGTTATATGACATAAATACTAAGAAATATTGACTGTATATGATGAATTCATGGAATCTCTATCACACTCGAGAAGTAGGATATTGTATGTAAATATTCTAAAAGAAAGTTTTATTTTCAATTTTAACAGGTCAGTTGGATATAGTGTTGTTGAAAATGATCTGAGGTAACAATGAAAACGTTTTTAATTATATAAAATGTGGAGTGTTATAATTGAAAAAAAAACTTTTCTCTAAAAGTACTGGAAACGTCACATAGTTTCAAAGACAATTTAGATTGTATTTGACAGTTAGATTCTACTTAAGTCAAAAGTCATTCGAGTTTTAAAATTGACAGTTCTTCAAAATATCTAATATCAGCTAGAAATTAAACCTTGGTTTGAATCTTCTATGATTCACATTCGTACAAAAAAAATAAACGATCAATTCAAAGTCGTAAATATATTCCACGATAAGATCTGATACGATCAGAAATGTCTTACAAATCTTATATGATGATTTTAACAATAATAAATTAAAAAGAGAAGATATATAATACTCTAAATTATCTTAAGGGTAAATATAGGGCATATATCCACCCATACCCTTTTTTTTATGATACTTTCAAACCTATTGTACGATGAATTTCACATTTTTTATTATTCAATATCTAAATAAAAAATATGGTTAACTAAAGAACTTAACACAATAGATGCATTCTATTATCACCATATATAAAAGAGAATGAATAAGAGAACTTCAAATGATTTTATTGGAACAAATTAAAATATTTTCTTCTTACTTGATTTATTAAGGAATTTACACACTTAATGTAAAATTTTTATTCATATGTTAGTTTAACAAAAAAATTTAAATGCCTTAGGACTACGAAGAGCAATATTGTAGTTAGATATATTTATGAAAATTTAAAGAAGGAATAAGAAAAATAAAAACACTAGCGCGATCAGTATTACCACAAGGACAAGGATCACAAGGAATTGTGAAGCATGAATAGTGGTGCTCAGGCTTGCTTTTTGGGAAATAAATCATGTATTTCATCATACATTTAACTAAACAGCTGTGTTATTAAATCATATAATGTACAAGTACTATAATGTCACCTTCTCCAGGAAAAAAACACATTAATTATCATTGTAAAAGAATATTATTCTAATTTGCCCAATCCATAAATATTATCCGACATTATTATGTAATAATATTGATTGAGAACATAGTGTAAGTATAAGATGAACTTGGTGCATAATCTATTGCATTAATTTTGTATAAAAATCCTTAAAAAATATCTAGGCAATGCAAAATGTCCGTGCATATTCGTGTCGCACTCGCTGGAGTGTACAATGCATCGTTAGATACTATTATCATCATCATAATAATGATAGAAGAAAAAAACGTGAGATCAGTAAGCGAGACGGTGAAAAATCGACTGTATTGTATTTTGTAAAGAAAAAAAATCAATTGTCATACCTAATTTTCGAATATTTCTTAATATTTTAAACATACAAAATTATTCATGAATATATCGAATTTTAATTTTTATCGTGTATTACAAAATCGATAAGCTTTTAGTGTTACTTAAAAATTTTATAATTATCTATTGTTTCGATATAAATTGTCATTATTGTATATGGTTTTTAGAAGTGTTTAAATTTGTAAAAATACTTTATTTTGTGGGTATATGTTTGCATGAGGAATTTTTAGAAATAGAATCGATACGAATCAAGTATTGCCATCAAAATTTGAATTAAAAATTCTTATAATGATGGATAGATTTAATAATTCAAATAATGAGCTACTTTAACTAGATTAACACATTCTTCGCTGATGGATTCCACTTTATTTTAACAAGAAATTCAATAGAAAACTACTATTTTTCATTGTTTTTTTTTAGTCCGGAATCACACACAGTGTATCATCTGTTCTGTCACTGTTACTATTTTATAATTTATTACATAATGCGATGCTGTTCATTAAAATAATCAGGACAGAAAGTTTTGATTTTCTTTTCTGTTGCATGATTTCCTTCTCTTGATTGTTGTTGTTTGATATTTTTCGAAGTAGCTAGTATAGCGTCTGCGAACATTGCACACAGAGCCTTGTTTGTCTTCAACGACTTGCTGATTATTGGTTTGCACTAGGTTTCAGATTCTCAAATTTTTTATATCTACGTCATCATCAGTAACTTCTTTATCGGAATTTGAAGTTGACAAAAAATCACGAGACTAACTCTGTTGTGATGACATAGAATGTTCAGTCTTAATAAGCATGAATCTGTAATATTTTGACAAAAATAAAACTAATTAAAGAATTGTTGTTTCTCAACATATATTGAATTAACTTTCAGTAATATTTTTGTTGCTTTTATGTAATCATCAAGACCTACTTAGTCTTCCAAAATATGAAAATATACCATAAAATGACGTAGATGAAATCTTAATAGATTCTTTTATTTTCATCTTTTAAATTATGAAGATAAAATGTAACAATATGTTCTATATAAAAAGCGATAAACATTTGTAATATTAATGCATTTTTTATGCTGTTAATTGATAATTAATAGTGGATAATATGATGTGGTAGTGTAACGAGTTCAAGAATATTAATAATTTGTTAATCTTATACAAAAGAAAAACTAATGAAGTATGACTATAGAACCAAAATATAAGACAACAGTAATCAATCTATTTCTCATTATAGTAGTAACAGTATCAATTATAAAATGATTCTAATAATTTATATTATTTTTTTTTTAATTTGAATTGTATGATTCAATCTGAATGACTGGCTCAGCGACCTTGTATGCACAAAAGTACGTCAGATATTTTTAGAAATATGTTTTGCCGTTTTATCCTCCTCTTGACGATAGTAAAGATACGATATTGACCAATCGAAGATAAATAACAAGAGTATTGAAGCGGTGACATCCCTTTTTCAATGTTGATTATGTACACTAGGAGCTAGGTAACAAGCAAGGTGATGCCCAGTCATCGATACAGCTACCTCGCTCACTGAATGAGATGATCCGATTTTATCGTCAAAAAGAATAGAAGAGAAAATACATTTTTATTTATGAGTACAAATAATTTTTTTCCATCCCAGTCATAGTGATCATGTGCCGTTACAAGCATACCTCTGTACAAAATCGAATATATCTTTGTACAGAGAGAGTGAAAAATATGTTTTTTTGGCTATTGCGTTTGAATATTTATCTGTCTTTTTTTAGATTTTTCTCTCTCGCAATCATCGGATATATAAATAGCCAAGTATCTAACATAAAATTACAACCATATATTACTGTACCTCAAATATCGATCAATATTATTTCTCCATATTAAGAATCGCAATATGAACAACATCAAAGTGGTATGCTGTGTTTTTATCTTAGCAGTATTGGTGACATGGTGCAATGGACGAGTAGCAATGCAAGATTTACGAGATGCTGATTTGAACGATGAGACGCGAGACATTGCTCAAGCGACTCTTTAATAAACGTTGTACTAGTCCAGGTGCTCGTTGTTCTGCTAGTAGAGAATGTTGTGGCACTTCTAATACCAATGGTGCTTGTGCTTGCAATGCTGGTACAAATGACTGTCATTGTACTTATGGTGGTGAGTTTTTAACCGATTCTGGTGGTTCCGTTTCAAACAGCCGAAGATATCAAAGAAAATAAGAAGCCAGGTATACTCTATTAATATAGTGATTTAATGCAACATAATTCAGACGGTTATTTTCTTTCTTTAAGAGCTATGACATAAACAAAGAAACATGCTGAAAATCGAACTTTTATATCAAATATTACTCGGACTAAAGGATATTATTTTTTTGTTTGTCTTACTGTCTCTTTTTTAGCTATTTATTTCTGAATTTTTTTTTAAATTTTTCTGTTTAATAAAAGCGTGCACTTCGAAAATAAACTTTAGCTGTCTGAAAAGCTATAAATAGAAAAAATATTATTTGTTCGATCAGGTGTTGCACAACATAATTCTTCTCTTCTTTAAACAATTAAGAAAAAAAAGTAATCTCAATTAGAATAAAATATTTTTATCTTCGTTGCTGTCACGTATCCTACTTCTTTTCATTGCTATTTCTGAGCAAGTTTCAGCTTCTCAGTTTCTATACAAAGGATTAAACATGGTATAAATAATGAATTTATTAAAGCTATTTTGATTATTTATACTTTATTTTTCAATGATAAAAAATATTTTTATGTATTAACATATAAACTATGTAGATTACGTTGTACCTTTTACTCTTTATATCATTATCTTTTCACTTATAGCTATCAACAGAAAAAGAATTAATATTTATCTGTTTATTGTAGCCATTTAAATATTCTCTACTCATCAATTGATCAAATTTTGTCATTTTTTTTCCTTATCTAGGAACAAAGACAAAAACACGATATTATTTCTGATTATATTCGTTAAATAATAAATATGTTTTGTAAAAATATAGTTACATACAGGATTAAGTAATCGAAAGGAATAAGAACTACTCTATAAGACTATGAATTCTTTTCACCCCTGTCAGTTTTTAATAGTTTAATGACAAAGACCAGTCGTATAACATGTTCTTCACAAGAAGAAAATAATCGATATTTGTTACAGTTTTATTTTGTTGAACATGGTTATTAGATGAATCAATTTGTTACTCTACGAGATACCGTTTTAATTTTACTCTATGCATTAACATCAATATTATCATTAATTGGTAATGCATTTGTATTTCGAATAAGTTTACGACGACATAATCATACGTGGTTTCAATCCACAACAAATTTTCCATTCACTACATCATGTATATTCTTACTTAATCTTGCAATAGCTGATACATTGTTAGGTTTAACCATTCCAGTAGAATTTGTATTCTGTTCAAAATATTTTGTTCAGAATATTACAGCTAGTTCATATGTATGTGCGGGTAATAAATCAATGCAAATTCTTGCATATAATGTATCAACATTAACAATATGTTTAATTGCTTATGATCGTTATCGTTTAATACAAAATCCATTAGAAAAATATTATCCAAAAAAACCTTTTCCTGTTATTTTATTGACATGGATTTTTTCGGGATTATTCGCTGCTACTTGTTTCGTATCGACAAAAGTAAACATATATTTTAATTCATATGAAAAATTAATTTGTTCTCAAATAATTTATCCATTGAGAACGAAATATTTTTTCAATGATACTATCTATAAAATAAGAAGTCTTTGTCTTATATTGTTATTCTATATTATACCACTTTTAATTATCACTAGTTTATGTCTATTAACAATACGAATAATATCTCGTCGAGCTGTAATTGGTGTAAAAGAATTTCAAACATTTAAACAATCAAGAACACGTTCAAGAAGTTTACTTATGATAACTATTATCGTTTTTACTTTATCTCATTCACCTATACATTTCATATATTTACGAGATATTTTTCATTCATCATCAAAAGTATCACTTGGACGTTCAATACAAATAACTAAATGTCAGGATTCGACAATGTATTTATTATTTTATTGGTTAAGTATTAGTGGTTGTTGTTACAATTCAATAATCTATAGTTGGTTCAATAGAAAATATCAAAATCTAGTTTACAAATGTTGTCGACTGATTGTTTGTTGTGAACGGTGTAATAATTGTTCAAATTAAATTATGTTCATTTCAAATTTGTATATTTAAAAAAAAAGAGTCATTTGTAATATATATACTAAAACTAAATATTGTCTACATGTCCTTCAAATATTAATAATAGTAATTAGAACTTTCAGGTATAAATAGTTTCTGGTGTCTTTAAGTTACAAAAAAGAAAATTGAGGTAATTTTATCTCAAGAAAAATACTAGACGGCAACACCAAAAGATATTTCTCTCTCTTTCTTTCTTTTTTTTTTATAAAATTTATAACTCAATAATAAAAAAAGAATATATAAATATTATAATAATTCTTTTTTTCTCTTCAATGTCATCCTATCAAATGCATTAATTTTCGCTCATGTCTTGTAAACATAATTTGATAAGTGTTGACATTTTTCTATTCATTACTATCTTGTAGATATGAAAAGTGAGTATTTTAGCACGTACTTTGTTGATTTACTCTACGGTTTATATGTCCAATATATATGTATACACAAAAGAGCAAACATTGTCATAAAAAAAATCTAATTGAATTTGCATGACCAAACAGGAGATGTTGATATAAACTATCACTATAGTTCATCCAATTCTCATTTGCATATTTCTTATTCAAAAACATAAAATCGCATATCAAACATCACTTCGATTTAGTTCAATGACTGATTTTATTCAACTAGTTTTACTTATCATCATTCAACCGAGAGAAAAAAACAAACAATCTAACATTAGAATAAAGATTAATTTATGAGATGTGCGTCATACGCTTTAATTAATTTATTTTTCTTCTACTCCTATTTAGAGAATGACAGAATTTGACATTGCGTTTATTCTAGTATAATTATGCTAGCAGCCCCGTAGTTAGTTTTTTTATCCATTCTTTCCTTTCTTTTTTCTTTTTATACATCTATCTCGTCATCACTAACGATGAACTTTCTTTATTTTTTTTTCTTCTTTTTATTCGCTCAATAACGCCATATATTCATTTCTTTTATTCAATGAACAATATTCCTATCGACCTCGGTCATTGTATATATTATATGCAGATCCATTAAATTCGTATTTTTTTCATCGCTTTGTCGTCATCTAAAATTTACTAGTTAAAGTTTGTTCTGTTGTAGGGACACGTTCAAATTTCGAACTAAGGTAGTAAGAGAAGAAAAGAGGATAATGCCATAGTCAGACGCTGTATGTGCTCTCTCTCTCTCTCTCTCTTTCTCTCATTTGCATTTGTGTAGTGAGAAAAAGTATATTATCTTCATTCACACATATACGACATAGGTAAGCAGGCAAAAAATAGACAAATTCTCGTTTATCCTTGTCTTTTTTTTTTCATTGAACCAAACACTTGAGAGAAAAAGACGAGCAACAAATTCCATTTTCTTTTTTAGCATTTTTTTAGTTGGTACCATAGAAGAAAGAGAGAAGAAGAAGAGAAAAAGCTGAGCTTGTCTTTCTTCTTTTTTTTTTTGACATCATTTTCTTTTTTTTTTACACCAGACTAATGAAATAAAACGGTAGCATCAACTACCGTAAGAATAATTTTTCATTTTTCTTTTTTTTTCTTCTTATTAGAAATACTTCTTTATTAAATTTAATATAAAGAATAAAGACACCATTCATTATTTTCTTTAGATATTTATTCAAGTAATTCAACAAAAAAACAATGTCTACTGAAATCGATGGTCCATCAAAATGTTTACTAGGTATGATAAGAATATAAAATGTACATAAATTTATTAAACTGATAAACTCAGCAAGAGATACCACAATTATTTTTCCTTCGTTTTTTTCTAACATCCGACAAGTCTCATATCTTCCCTTTTTCATATATATATATATATATTCAAAAGAATCGCTGGTGCATAATGAGACGAGTTATGTAGAGATGAAAAAGAAAAAAAAGAAAAGTAGATTTGTTAAACAGGAAGTTAAATCAAAAATCTACAGTAAGATCACGTATGTTTTATTTTAGGAGTATTTGGTGCATTTACATTAGGAAGTGCTATTGCGACATTAGGTTATGGAATAGTTTTATTATATCGATATCTTCCTATCGAACATAATTATGGTGATTTTAATTTATATATGGCAAGTATTGTACTCATTGCTGTTGGTGGTTTATTATTAATAGCTTTACTTTTGGGTGTATTTGGTGCCCTTAAAGATATTTCAAATTTACGTTTGGTAACATTAGTTTTACTTCTTATTTTCTTTATAACACTTGGTAAGTTTAATATTGAATAAGATTTTTATTAAATAAATAATTTGTTTTGCCAGCAAGTGTCGGTATTTATGGAATGGTTTCACATAAAACAGGTCGATTACAAACAAGTATTGATAAGGAAATAAAAGATTATAGTAAATATAAAGACTTACCAGCAGCATCACAGAAAAAGATTGATTATTTAAATAAAGTATGAAAAATAAATAAAAATAGATTTGATATTGTTTTTATCTTTTTAGAATTATAATTGTTGTACTTCATACGATGATTATAAGATGGGAAATCTCGATGGAATACCAGAAAGTTGTTGTCTTGCACCAGGTATGTAATAAAAAGAGATTTTTCTTTATAAAATATTTTTTTATAGGTTGTACGGAACAACCTGAATACAACAACAACAAATATTTTGATAGAGCTTGTACTGCTGTTTATTATGACTATAAATCCAAGGAAGTCTTTTATATAGCTATCGTAACATTAGTAGCTGCTGGTGTAATACTTCTTGCTCTTATATTATATGGTGGTTTAACTCAACGTGCACGTAGTGGATATGCAGCTGTCTCACGGGTCAATTGAAATATATATGAATGTTGTATGTGAAAAAATACATTTTTTTTGTTTTAATTAGTATTATTTAAAATGAATGAAAGAAAAAAAACTAAGTTTCTCTTTTTGTCTTGTCTTGTATGTATCGACAGTTTATCTTGTAGTTTATTAAATGATCGATGATTTTCACATATGCGTGGAATGAGATTACTTCTTTTTTTTTATCTCATTTTATTTAGATTTTTATTGTATCATTGTTTTTATGTATGTATTTCTTTGTATGAATCAATGAATATATAAAATACATTTATTAATATTCATTTTTGTCTTTTATCTTCTTTGAACGACGACAACAATTGAATTGATCTTTTGAAAAAAATTAAAAGGTTATTATAGATTAAATTGAATCTAATGTTATTTATAACAAGCAAAGAGTAATTCAAGTAGTTTGATCTGTTCAATATAGTATATTTATATCCAATCGATGATAAGCTTATAAAGATAAAAGTTTTTTCTTTTATCTATATACACATGAATTTCGCATAACGTATGGAATTAAAGTGAAGGCTTTTGAGGATAAGGTAAAAATATTTTATTACTATTAAAATAAATTATGAATGTTCCTAAACATGATATTTTACTCAAAGAAATTTCTTTTTATTCATTCTTGCTTGACAAATGTGAATGACTACTTATTATAATTATGTCTATATAATAAAATACATCATCGTTTGATATGTGTGATGTTGCTTCTATTTTAAACATCTGTCTTTTCAAGTACTTTCAAATGTTCCACTTGAATAGAATAATGAAATATGCCTGGTTTTATTCACTGATAATGTAATAAATTTTTTTCTATTCGAATTTCGCTCGCTAAAATTTAAAATGTCAATTTGATAGACAATTAATCCTATACTAATGTCGAAGAAGAATAATTATCATATTATATAATAGTCTGTCTTAGGCATTATATAAAATAAAGAAGATTTGTTTTATAAAACTTTTAAATAGATTGTAATAGGTAATGATTTTTTTTTGAGATTTAATAATGAATATGAAATATTAAACGAAGATCTTTTAGTACATATTATAATAGTAGTGTAATCAGGAAATTAGAAGTAGTCGAATAATGCCGTAGGATCTTTGAAGAAGGTCTACTGAAATGATAATAATTATTAGCGTTCTTTTTTTCTCCTTGATAAATGGGTGGTACCGGATCCGATATATCCCTACATTTTCATTCCACTAGATGTCAGTAATATCTATGTATAGTGAATTTCAACTTGTCATTGATTTGTAGATGAGCATAGCTAATAATTATATACGAGTATGAAACATCATTCATTTATTTTAATTCTTTGTGGAATTTCTACGAAAAATTAACGTGTCTATTAATTGTAGATTCTCTCGTACATATCTTAAAACAACATATATTACAAGATGGAATTTGCTGAGAGAATGTTAAAAAAGCATGGGTGGGATCCCGGTAATTGTTTTTAATTTGTCATTTTAAAAATAAAATCATAATAAACTCTGTTTAGAAAAAGGTCTTGGTAAAAATAATCAAGGGATGAAAACAGCTCTTAAACCAGTTCTAAAATTTGATACTCGTGGAGTAAGTTAATGTAATGTTGAAGAAGATTGATTTATTTATTTCTTGTTTTTAGGTTGGATGTAATCAAAAAGATGAGTATTCAAGTGAATTTAAATGGTGGGAATATACATATAATCGAGCTGCAAAAAAAGTTTCGGATTCACTTGACCAACCAGAAGGTGAAGAGAAGAAAGAGAAAAAACGTAAACATAAAGAAGATGATGAAGAAAAAAGTTCAAAAAAATCTATTTATACACGTTTTCAAAAAGTTAGTAAACATTACATAATCAATATTTTATTTATAAAAATTTTCTGTTTTAGAGTTCAGTATTAATGGACAATAAAGAAGAATCTGTACGACTTGAAAAAGAACTTGCTGTTGCTGAAACTAATACTCCTACGTATATTTAATTCATATATATTTATAGTTTAATTGATTTCCTTTTTTTTGATATTCAGACCGAGTGATGAAGATTTACTTCGTATATGTGGTGGTCGAACTGCTCATAAGTACATTGTTTAATTATATGAAAAAAGAAAAACTATTATTTTATGTTTATTTCTAATAGAGGTGCTCGTCATGGAATAAAAATGGGTGGAAAACTTCAACGATTACAAGAACAAGAAGATCGTGCTTTGTCTTCTTCTTGTGATAATTCTCTTGAGAAAAAGAAAAAGAAAAAACGAAAATCTATTGAACAAATTGATGAATAAAATAAATTTAACTGAATATATTCTTATTCTGTTTTTGTTTCAGATTATGTCTTACGGTCGGACAGCAATATTTGCTGCTGTTTCATGTAATCGTTTTATAAGACAATTTAAAAATGCATTACCCTATGTATTTGGTACCGCTACAACAATCGCATATTGTTATACTCATAAACCTTTTAATAAACATCATGCAACAACACTTGATTCATTTAAAACTGATGTTTCGGAAACATATCCAGATAAACCATTGGAATCATTTATGGCTGAACCAATAACAAATAAAGATCTACTGCAAAAAAATTCTTATCAAGCACGAATGGAAGTCTTTATATTAAAATTACAAAAACAACTTTGTCAATCATTGGAAGATTATGAAATTAAACAAAATAATCAAGTTCGATTTAAAGTTGATCGTTGGACACGTGAAGAAGGTGGTGGTGGAATAACATGTGTTATGCAAGATGGTGATGTTTTTGAAAAAGCCGGTGTTAATATATCAGTTGTTCATGGTAAATTACCTGTTCAAGCAATTGAACAAATGAGAGCACGTGGTCATCAATTTGTTGCACGAAATACATCATTAGATTTTTTTGCAGCTGGTATATCATCAGTTGTTCATCCAAGAAATCCACATGTACCAACAATACATTTTAATTATAGATATTTTGAATTAGTTGACGTCGATGGGAAAATACATTGGTGGTATGGTGGGTTAGTATCTATATATATCGAGAAAAAAACGATAAGATTGAATGTTTTATTATTTTAGTGGTACTGATATGACACCTTATTATTTAAATGAAACTGATTGTAAACATTTTCATTTATCATTAAAAGAAACTTGTGATAAATATGATAATTCCTATTATTCGAAATTTAAAAAATGGTGTGATGATTATTTTAATATAAATTATCGTTCAAATGAACGTCGTGGAATTGGTGGTATTTTTTTTGATGATCTTAATCAACCCGATCAAGAATCATGTTTTAGTTTTGTTAAAGCTTGTGCAAATACAGTTATACCATCTTATATTCCAATAGTAAAAAAAAATTATCAACAAACATATACAACACAAGAACGTGAATGGCAATTATTACGACGAGGACGTTATGCTGAATTTAATCTTGTATTAGATCGTGGGACAAAATTTGGTTTACAAACACCTGGTGCAAGAATCGAGAGTATTCTTATGTCATTACCACCAGTAGCTAAATGGAAATATGGTTGGGAGTTTAAAGACGATTCACCAGAAATGAAACTTATGAAAGTTTTAAAAGAACCAAAAGAATGGGTTTAATATTAATTAGACTAAACGTTTTGTTGTTTTGTTTTTTATTGTTATATATTTTGATTTCTTCAAAAAAGAGAAAATTAAACAATAGATTTGATTATTTATTGTTAATTAAATTAAAAGAAAAGAAATTGTTTTTTTGTTATGAGCAATCTTGTCGAGTTGGTTTAACATTATTCACATCAGCTCCCATATCTTTTAAAATCTTTTTTAATTCATTGATACGTGATGGTGATAAAGATTTTTTTCGTCTAAATAAACAAATTATTCAAGTAAAAAGAAAACCATGAAGAAATTAGAACACATACGAAAGTAACCAAATAAATTCCATTTTAAAACCAACAACTGGTATAGTTTCACAAGCATAAACAAGTGCATATTCATTATAATCTGTTGTAATTACATTATAATCTCCTTTTCGAGCTATTCAAAATAAAAATCTTTAATTAATCCAAAAACAACAACAAATCTGTAAAAATTAATTACCTGGATTAGTAAAAATAACTTCTAAAGCACCTGGTTCTGCAGGATCTTTAACTCGAGCAATACCATGGATACTATAATAACCACTATATGCAGTAACAGCTTGATTCCATACACCAACAGTACCATTATCATTGGCTGTATAAGTAGCATTTTCACATCTTGATGCTATTTCAAAAATAATATCATTTCTTTCAATTTCATACCAAAGACCTAAATACTATAGATGAAAAAAACATAATGGATAAGTTAGTAATTAAATTTGAAAAGAATTTGATCTACTTTTGTAGCATTAAAATCTTTTTGAGTAACGATTTTTGGACATCCAGCAGCCAATGATTGACTGAATAATGAAAGAAAAACAATAAGAGCAAGTGAGATATACATTTCCAAATGGTTTGATTCTCATTCTCATATTTTTGCCTGTCTTTTATACCCATCATTCCAGATGACATGGTATACATAGTTATAAAATTATGATCCGATATATTTATATACTAAAAAACCTTGATCATGAATGATGCACGAAAATAGAAAAATTCTATGTAAATATTCGTTTTATTCAAAGTCAGTTAATCGAATATGAAGTTTTTATTTCCGATATACATTTTTTCAATTATTTTTCTTCTATTTGAAGAAGATTTTATAGTGTTAAATATAAATATAATACATTTTCATTTTATTTTTCTCATTGAAAAATTACTAAACGAAGACGACATATCATGTATCTTATATCAAAAGTGATTCTTTCTATTCTCTTAATAAGTTTCGTCCAAACTCAATCTGATAATTGTTCATGTGCATGTTGTACTGGTCAAGGATGTCAACCAACTCAAACACTTAATGCTAGTGCTCAACCATGTTCTGATGCAAATTGTCTCGCAGCTTGTAAAGCACGATATTATCAATGTACTGCACCTATTTCATACGGACAAGCTATTGGAAAATGTCTTACAGCAACAACTACAACAACTACAAATTCACCAACGAATAACGGCCCCTATTTATGTCAATGCAATTGCTGTAATTCAGGTTCATTTACATGTGCACCTACATTTGTTGGTGAAGCAACTGCTTTTTCATGTCAAGTTGGTGCATGTAGTATAGCTTGTAATAACCGATATCCATATATATGTGTAAATAATCAATATGGTCAAACTCAAGGTGTTTGCCTAGGAGTATCTACTCCAACACCGACTTTACCAAGTGGATCGACACGATGTGGATGTTCTTGTAATACATTAAGTGGATTTCATTCTTATGAAATGGTTACTGCAAATGGTTGTTCATCATGTCTTGCTGCTTGTCAATCTATTCAACTTCAATGTTATAATCATCAAAATACTTTTTGTATTTAATTAAAAAATGATTTATTAAATAAACATATAGAATCACCATACTTTTTTTTCGTAAGACTTATTTAATGAAATATCACTCATTGATATACATCTCAATTCATTTATTTCAAACTTATCGTACCAATTACGAACTATATTCTTGAATTTTTGCGTCATTAATATAAAGAGAAACTCTTTCTATCATTGCTTATGTCATTATCTGTTAGATCAATTCAAATATATTAAATTAACAAGATTTGTTATATAAAAACTAGAACAATTTGTACTTGTAAATATTTAAAAATAATTCAAATAGCAAATATTAAACTAACGTAAAGATATGAGAGTAAATACGAACATAATCAATATTATGATAAACTAATATTTCTATCGATATGCAAATTAGTCTTAAAAATCTGATTTATAATTAAAAAATAATATTAATAATCAGAAGAAAAAAAATTATTTAAAACCACTGTTTTTTTGCTTAATATTTGTACAAATAAAAGTATTTGTTATTTTTGTCATAATCATCCATTAATGTGTCATTTTTATAGAACATAGCATTGAAACATTTACTTCTACTTGAACTTGTAAATATTTTTTCATTATGTTTGCCTTGTCCCCCATAGTAACATCAACTTTTCTTTATCCATAATGTCGCATGGTCGAAAAACTGAGGTATGCGCATACAAAAAACATCTATAATATATAAATTAAAAATAAATTTTAGCAAGTTACTATTATTCGAGTAAATCGTAGGGGTGATATATTAAGTTATGATACTATCGAACAGCCAATTGAACCTGTTAAATCTTCATCAAAACATTATTCACGACCAAAAAAAGTAAAACAACCGGTCGTATATAAAGAGAATAGTTATTATAGTGAAGAAGATACATCTGATGTTAATGTACCAGTGAGAAAAACATATGAAAATACAATTAAAGAAGTAATTAGAATTTTAGTATAATAAAATTTTATTTTGAAAAACAAAATTTGTTGAAGACAAAACCAGAACGACGTCGTCTTTCTCCATTACAATCAGATCGTGAAGTATGGGATTATTTATTTTAATCAAGTAATAGAAACTCTTTTGTTCCATATAGATTGTTGAAGAAAGAATTATCTGGCAAGGAAAAGCTCGGACTGATTCTCATAATGAAAATACTACCGATCGACGTAAGAGTGGTCGAAAATCAATTGTAAGATAATTTTCATAAAATTTCTTAATAAAACTTTCGGTTTTTTGTTTAAAGAGAGTTGCTGGTGATCCAAATGGATATGTACTAGTTGATAGTCCTGATAATTATAGTGAAGAGCATACAAGATCTCAAGAACGTGGAAGATCTTTACGAAATGAAAAACAAAATATTGTACGAAAATTTTTTTTGTTATTTTTCTATATTGTTCTTGTTTTTTTTATAGAATTCTACACGAAAACGAGGACCGATATCTGATGAAGTTTATAGTGATATTCAAAACTATGAATATGATGATCGTAGAATACAATACAAACCAGCAAGACTTCCCGTATGAGATGAAGGAGAGTTTCCTAATTTTCATTATATATAAACTCATTTTTAGCCAGTTCAAAATCGAACATTTGGATTGCAACAAAAATCACGAAGTAATTCAAGAAATGATGATTACACTAGACGTATTCGAAAATCACGATCCACATCTGTAATATGAAAATCAAATTTTCTTTTTTTGAAATATCAATACAATTTCTTTTTTTAAAGAATAATAGAAAAAGCTCTCGATATGATTATATAAAACCTAAAATTGATGATCGTAATGAAGAATATGTAAGAAATATAAAATATGAACCAAAACCAAGAGTAAGCTACTAGTTTTTGCTAGCCATAAAACTATATTCTCAATTTAGAATACCAGCAAGTTACCACGTTGGAGATCAGAACCAAAAATGGGTTCATTTAATGTTTCTTACGATACTAAGCCTACTTATAGACAACCAAGAGTAACCATCTTTCTCATTGTATTATATAATTACTATTGATTTTATTTAAAGAAATTTTCCGGTGATCCAAATGGATGGAGACTTGTTAATAACCGTAATAATTATGATGAAGATGATACAAGACATCAAGAACGTCGAAGATCTCTGCGAAATGAAAAACAAAATATCGTACGGAAATATTTCTTATTATTTTCTATATTGTTCTTTTATTTATAGAATTCTACACCAAAACGAAGAACAAAATCTGATCGAGTTTATAATGATAATCAGAAGTATGACGTTGATGATCGAAAAAAACGATCCAAGCCAGCAAAACTTCCCGTATGAGATAAACAAGAATTTTCTAATTCTGATTATGTGCAAATTAATTTTTAGCCCATTCACCATCGAACATTTGGATGGCAACAAAAATCACAAAATAATGATTCTACTGGACGTATTCGAAAACATCGGCCAACATCTGTAGTATGAAACTCAAATTTTCTTTTTTTCGAATATCAATACAATTTCTTTTTAAAGAATGCAAGAAAAAACACTCAATATAATTCTATAAAACCTAAAATCGATAATCATAATGAAGAATTTGTAAAAAGTTTAAAGTATCAATCAAAACCAAGAGTAAGTATTATTTTCTGTTCTTATCTTGCCGAGTTATATGCTACCATTTTACTATTTCTGATATTCATAAATAGTTTTTGCTGATCATAAAATTACATATATATTTAATTTAGATCATAAATGATTTACCACTTTGGAAATATGAATCAAAAACGAAATCATATAATGATTCTTATAATCCGGAGCTCACACATCGAAAACCAAAAGTAATTATCTGTCTTATTGTATTATAGAATTAATCTTAATTTTTATTTAAACCAGATTTTTCGTGAAAAACTTGATTGGAATGCACGATCAAAAATTGATTCGGGTTTCGCAACCAATGCGTAATGATGTCTAGGTGATATGATATGCCTATTTTTTTATTTTTATCTTTACTTTTTCAACTATATCAATGATGGTTTGACAGATTGTTTGATATACAAGTATATTTATATATGACATTTTTGTCTTTTTCAATTTCTACTCTTTCTCTTTCATTGCTTCCTATTTGCATTGAATATATATATCAATACAAAGCGTGTAAAGACCATGAAATCTTTGCTGCTCTTTTACGATGATGTGTTGTTAAATGGTCTTTTACTTCTCTGTCAATAAAAAAAAAGTGCATACAATTGATTTAATATATCGATATGATGATGATGAGAATAGAAGTAAAAAAACGGAGGAATTAATGGGATACATCAAGACCTTCGTCTATTTCAATGAACATTTAAAAAAGAAAATGAACAGAATAAAATAAAATGTTTAACAAAGTTTATACAAATATACGCCTATGATTTTTTTTTCTGATTAAATTAGAAAAAATAGTATCAAAAAAATAATACTGAAGAAAAATTGATGAAATGAAAATAGTTTAGAAGACGACGAATTGTATGGACTATGTCTTGAGAGAGCAATTATTGATCGAATAAAACTATTATAAGTACTTACGCGTGTATAAATTCCAGGCGCATTTGGCTTACCACTAGAGAAATAAAGTATGATTATCATGAAATCTTAATATTTTTATTGCATATCTTACCATGATTTGCCAAATGATGTTATACCTACAATTTCCCAACGATTGTTGGCATTTTCTATCATTATTGGTCCACCTAAAATATAAAATTTACAATAGAGAACTGTAATTGTTCTAATAAAACCTGAATCAGCTTGACATGTATCAGCACCACCACTAAGTTCTCCGGCACATATTTGTCCTGGTGCATAAGTAATATAAATATTACATGGCCATTTATTTACGTCAAGAATTGGTAGAACGACTTGTTTGAGTGTTGTCGATGGATTACCACCAAAATAAGTCGATCCCCAACCAATAGCAACACCAGATGCTTTTATAGGTGGATAATTTCTTCCTGGAACATCATCAGGTGGTAAACAAATTGTACCTATACGTGGATCATTATCAGGTAATGGTGCTAATAGTGTTATGATTGCAATATCATTCTCAAATGTATCAGGATCATATTGAGGATGAACATTAATTGCTATAACTGGTGCTGGATTTCGTTTATCAGTATTATAATGAGTACCAGCTATAATATTTAAATCTGAAGGTCCATCAAAATCTTCCATACAATGTGCAGCTGAAAGAACATGACGTTGTGTGATAAGAGTACCACCACATAAATGTATATTATTTAAAGAACGTTTTGTTAATGAAACCATCCATGGATATGAATGAGGTACAGCATCTTGTCCACCCATAATACGTGCAAATCGATTCGATATTTGACTTCTTCCACATGCCCAATTTGATAATTGATCTGCTTGATTAAATGGTAATGTATTTTTATAAAAATTGTTCGATGGTACATCTTGATTTGTCCAATACCATGAATAAGCTGACGGTTGATTGTTAGATGAATAATACCATTTTTGACTGTTGATATTTGTCATTTGTTGTTGTTGTTGTTGATAATAATTTGATGGTCCATTGAAAAAAGCTCGATATTCCTGAGGTTGAGATTTTGTAGCACCATTAACAATTGCTATATTTAACGTAAATTGTACCATGTAATATAGATTTAAAACATTGAACATGATCGCTATCATTCCTGAGGTTATTCCTCATCTTTTCACATAGGTATCAACCACATTTGTCAGCTGTTATTTCGTTCCGTGTGACACATATTGATGATGTGAAGAGAGAAAAAGAAGAAAGAAAATCTATTTCAAGTTACAAGTCTTTTTTTTTATTTTCTCTCTATTTGCCTACTTTTATCCTGTTCTTTAACTTTGTGACAGAAAGAAGAAAAAAAGAACGTTTTTTTTTCTGCATATTCTTTTTTTTGTACGTTCTACGTTCGTCAGGAATGAAGAAGCCTTTATATTAATTTGAGCATCGATGGTGTAAGAACATATGTGTGTACTTTGTGGTGACCGCAGTCAGATGAGTTTTTTCTGTGTCCTTGTTTTAGAATAAATTCTTCGTAAAGAAGAAGAAAAAAAACTGTTGCTTATGATATGAAATAGAGAAATTGTATTTATGAAGCGCTTCAACTGTTACATTCTGAGTTTCAAAAAAAAAAAAGAAAAGAAATAATCTCTTTTTTTTGTCATAGTGAATTTATTGTATACATAATTAAAATGATGTAATATATATTCTCTTCAAGGAATAGATGATGGTGGAAAAAGCACTCAACTTAAGTGATGTGATTTTCGAAAAAAAAAATCACATAGTAGAGTGAATTATATGAAATCGATATTTTTTCATTGGGATTAAGAGAGAAGATCAAGACATTGTCCTTTTGATTTTTGTTTTTCATCAA